TTCATTCTATTAGCCAGCCATCTCATTATCTATTCATCTGTCCATTCATCCATCCCATTATCCATTCTCTGTCATCCCTCTAGATACTCTATATGACAATCTTGTAATTTTGTTGCTGTTAGGTTCATGAATGTAAATTAAAAGTGGATCTTACCAAGTATTTGGAAAACCATAAATTCTGGTAAAGTCATTTTCTTACAAAATACATGTAATAGAATCATTTTGTTGATTGGTTGCATTATACAGGTCCCAATTATCAAGAAGAACTAGTAGCTTTGTGTGATACCTTTGACCCACGAAAAAAATTATTAATCTGCATATGTATTATGGGAAAATGAATAATGGGAAAATGAATTATGGGAAAATGAATTGTGGGAAAATGAATTATGGGAAAAATAGTAATGTCTTATTATTGTGTTTGCAGGTTTGATTATGCATTTAATGAGTATGCAACAAACGAAATGGTCTACAGGTTTGTGTTCTCTATTATAATAACATCTTTTAAGACCCCTTGGACCACATGACATCAAAATACTTTTATCTGGAGGACAAAACACAAGATTTTTGCCCTCTGGGGAACTAGAATCCATCATTTTTTCCCTCCAGCTGAAGCTGCATTGCCAAAAACTACCAGGGGTCTATTGGATCCCACTGTTCTTATATATTATTTGTATTTCTAGATATACAGCCAGACCATTAGTAGAGACTATTTTTAACCAGGGAATGGCTACGTGTTTTGCTTATGGTCAGACTGGCAGTGGAAAAACCCATGTAAGTATACAGCTCTTTCAAATAAGGTTATTAGCATCAAAACAGCTATACACTGGCAATGCCGCATAACTCTATATATAAGAAATGAGACTAACTGTAACTATGATTTAAAGGCCCAGTGTGCACCATTATGCTTTGGGGGCCGATAGGGCCATGAGGCGGTCATTTTCAGTTTACTGAAAGTCTATAAATTGTACTGTTTGTTTCGAATCTTTGACCATCTCACTTTTCTAAGCACTTTAAATGCTAGTATAAGAATTTTCAACCATCTGAAATTCGTTTTATGGTGATATTTGGATACTAGATGTATTTCGGTGTAAATCATAACAATAACAGAGGCGCGCAAAGCATAATAGTGCAAACTAGGCCTTTAAGTATTTATGATAATTCTTTTTTCAGTGTTTCTGAATTGCATTTTATTTTCATCAGACAATGGGTGGTACTTTTACTGGAAAACAACAAGACTCGACCAGTGGTATCTATGCTTTGGCTGCACACGACGTATTTAAACTCCACAAACACTCCAAGTAYAAAAATAAAGATTTGGTGATATCATGTAGCTACTTTGAGATATATGGCAGTAAGGTAAGAGCCTAACATCATTGAGTTAACATTTTAACAGGATTAGTTCTACCYAACAYACCAATTAGCATTTACRTTGCAAWATTCGTTTCGTTTGGTTGTGTAAAATRGTARATATGATGCAAATAGGTTGGATAACGTTGACATGAATTAGTCGGATTGACAAACTCTTGCATTTGAATATAAATTGAAGCATTTTGAGGTGAAAACAAGTCTATTATATTCAAGACACTATCAAAAATATTAAAATCAAACATAACTACCGAAAAAACTGTGTTATGATCCTTGAAAAACTTTRTCATTGTACAATTGTATTTAGGTCTTTGATTTATTAAACAAAAGAAAGAAACTTCGTGTCCTTGAGGATGGGAATCAACAAGTGCAGGTATGTTTATCAATGGAAAGTAAAAGTCAAACAAATTATATCTTCTTGATAAAAATTAGACACGCTAAACCATGGATAATAAAAGCTTTTATTATCCATGGCTAAACTGCTTCATCATGGAAAAAAAAAAATTGTCATAACATTACTTTCAAATTGCGTATAGGTCTGTGAATTAGAAGAAAAGATTGTCCAYTCGGTACAGGATGTTCTTAAACTTATTGAACTTGGTAACAAACTTAGGTAAGTGGTACTACTGTTGATTTGATAATTTCTCAAGAGTGCTTAATGGTACTGCCTTCTTGCTTTAGAACGTCAGGGCAGACTTCAGCCAATCAAAATTCATCGCGGTCRCATGCAGTTTTCCAAATAGTTTTAAGAAAGAGGTTTGTACTTATTATTTAAAAATGGCAATTAGGAAATAGATATTGAATGGATGAGAAGAGAAAAGTAAAAAAAATGGATATCAGATATATCGTTACATTATGGAATAGAATAAAGTAGAGCCAAAAATAATGTATGGACGTTAAGTTACCTTATTTTCATTTGTATTCATTCAGAGGTTACAGGAAAGACGGTGGTGGTGGCAATTTGTTTGGCAAGTTTTCTCTTATAGATCTTGCTGGTAAGCTATGCTTTATAGTCTTTCAAATCGTTCTGTTCAACAGTGACAATGTTGTTAAAGGCAATGCTGTTGTTATTTTTCTATAG